TGTTGGACGATGTTGAAAGGCATCCTTCTTACGAAATAATGAAATATTGGGAAATTATAAAGTTAGAGAGGGTTTGTCTAGGGGCGTTCCTAGCTAACACACGARCCTGGTGAGTTGTATCCGAGCTCCTGGAGWGTCAGGACAAACATTTCTGTTCGACGTATTTCTGTGAGCAGAGCTMYGCGATTAAATTCGGTGTGAAACTCGGTAAATCTGCGACRGAGAAGTTTGATATGATCAAGCAGKCTTACCCAGATTTTGTTTTAGCAAGAAGTAGAAGAGGTCGCTGATGAAGACGTGCTGGGAGACCCGCGACTTCGACAAACATCGACAATGTGACTCGTGTGCGCAAAGTTTTGAACTCAGACCGTCRACTAAGTATTCGCTTAATTGCCGAGATCTTACATTTATCAAAMTCTATGGTTCATGACCTTGTGACRGAGCACTTGAATATGGGCAAGGTATGCGCGAAGATAATCCCAAAAGTGTTCACTGACGACCAGAAATTGCAGCRACTGGAAGTGTGTCAAGAAAATTTGAACATGTGTGAAAGTGACCCCCAATATTTGAATAATGAATCAGAAGCGACGTGTCATGGATCTTTGAGAGTGATCCCGAGACAAAGAAGGGCACCTCGGCTCTCAAGGCTATTCCGGAGAATGYCTCCRTRACGCTTTCAATGCTTCGAYGCAGAAGAAGCATATTTTGAAAATTTTTMAAGAATTGTAACGATTGGTTGAATAAACTTTTTTAAATCGACTCAGTCCCATTACTTTCCGGACAAATCCCTGTGGTTTGGTTGACGTTTGAATAGGTTCTGTTGCCCTCAAGCTTCCAGAACAATGAAATATCAAATATACGTCGATAACCAGACGATAAATAAATAATCATCAGTCACTAAAAATTATATAATGAATTTTTCGAATGGAAAAACAGACAGAAAGGAYAGCAGGACGTTTGTTGACCTAACGGCAGGTCACAACGTATCAAGACGCTCTCTGAAAGTTCGCAATAAGCGTCAACATCTTGTATGACTAAGATTTCAGCTCAAATTATCAAASAATTTAGTTGGTCTTTCTTATCCTAATATCGCTAACTCTAACRTTGTGAGAAACTAACCAAGATGTTGTATTGCACTAAATGAAATATAGAATTACTTTAAGCTGTTAAATAAGGAACATTAAGTAAGTAAATTGTATCTGARTCCCTTAGTTCTCGAAAGCTCAACTATAAACGAATTTAATACTTTTCCTCGCCCAYACGATTTCCTCCTTGAGTGGGTGCAATAGCCAAGTTCGCGTTCGTACATAAGTAAATAAGGCAAATTAGTGCTTAACCGTATGAAGTCACTTATTCACAAGCAGGAAGTTAGCATGAAATGTGTGTCACATTAAATTATACAAACAAAATAGATTTGAAGGGACCCACTTTATAAAATATGCGAAGCACAAGTGCGACAGGCGAAATTTCGAGAAAAAGATTACAAAATTACCGAAACCAGAGAGAGAGAGAGCAAAAAAGAAAACAAAAGCAAAAGCGGAAAAAAAAAACACAAAAAAAAGGTAAAAGCAAATCATAGCAAAGATTGTTGCAAAGTGAAAGCTGTATGGCGCTTGCTATTGTGGTGGTTGTTGTTAGTGTTGGTGCAGAAAGCATGGCACTCGAGCATGAAAAATTGTTGTACTGCGCCATGAATAATGCAGAAACTTACAAATTTTCAAAGAACCTTTTTCCCCTCACTCTGAAACTTCGCTGGCGTTTGCCCACTTGCGTGCGCAAGTATGTGTGTCATTAAAACGTCATCAAATCAATATTCGCATAAACTTTAAAGTAGCTTAAAAAATTTCGGGCTTTTGAAGAAAGTAGAAATTACATAATTCACAAATGTGGCATGTGGCATGTGGCATACAAATTATGTAAGAGCATTACGAAATATTATGTAATTGCAGTGAGCGAAAATGCTGCGAAAGTTCAAAGCGTCGGGAATATATTTTAAAAGCACAGCGGTATAATGGAGAAATAGACTGCCAGAATTACTTTTACTGATTTTTGATTTTTGCTGAAATAATATTTGCTTTTGATTTTCACCATATTTTTACATTTTATTTCTCAATTCCATTGCCGCACAGTGGAGGTGCTATTTCTCGCCTGGGGTGTGCGCCTGTGCATTATGGTGCGGAAGGCGCCGTCCGAATTCAACGAGAGCCGCTTCATCTCCATGGCCATCTACAATGAATTCCTGCTGACCTGCTTCCTCAACGTCTCCATGTAAGTAATGTGTGAACAGCTTATGTAAATTACCAAAAATAATTTTTTTAATAGCATAAATACAGCTACACATAAGTAGTACTTACAAGCTTTTACACGAGGTTTTAGTCATAAGTACAATTGGTGGGCAGTGAAATAGAACTAGCAACTAAGGTGCGTTGMTTAATCGGTTAAAGAGCTTATCCAAATGTGGCTAGTTGTCACAGCGTGCAGTAGTTAGAACAACAAAAAACACAGAAATTGTAACTATAAAGCATTCACAATAAGCAACTTTTAGATATGAAGAAATATGTACAGAAATGTACGCTAGAAATTCACATGTCTAAGAGTTTTATTTTACGAATGTTTCATAATTACATCTTCAATGATTTCAGTTGCTCTATTGCTGAAGAAGACATTTTACTTTCAATATAGTTAGAATGAAATTAGTAGGATTTTAATAGAACGCATTACAATCCAGGTAAAGAAGAAATGTAAGTATAAGAGAAGAGACCGAACGCCTTCTCATACGCCAGGTTTGATAAACATTTTTTTGAAAGTAGCCTTCTGGTTACTCACCCAATATGTAATCTTAATCGATATGAAACGATTTACAGTTCTAATTTCAAGAGCTATTAGTTACAAGAGTAGTCGAAAAGTCTTTTCGTATTTTGTAAATAGATGTCGTTGCAGTCGTATATCTCCAGTGCTTATAATCACATTGTTTTGGATAGGTGATATTTTAACCTTCATTTAATCAAATTCGGGGAAATTGAAAAAAAGTTACAGCTGTTCAAAAATGAGTGAAAATAATGAYTTTTTCCWTATATTTTGAATATTTTGTATAAAAAACGATAGAAGGCCACGCAACACACCAGTGAAATTTGTGAAGTTTACGGCTTCGATGCGATGTGAAAGATGCACTTCGCTCTGTTCGACCWGTCGTTGCAAGAGTYGATRAAATTATCGAAAAGATTGACCAGGCATCACATAAGCAGCCATGACATCGCTAAGGAACTTAACATTCATCAGCGAACGTTTGTTGAGTGTTTGGTGGGGTTAGAAAGGCATCATCCACTATGAACTACAACAGCCTGATCGAACGAATTATTCTACATTTTACTGTCAACAACTGATGAGCAAGCAATTGAAAAAAACGGCCAGAACTGATCAACAGAATGAGCTTCGATTTTCATCTGGACAACGCTAGATCACACACACRTCTTTGATGATTCGGCAAAAACTGGGAAAATTTATTCTACATTTTACATATCATGCTTAGGCGCCTGCTAACTGAAACACAAATATTTACAGTTAAAACAAAGAAAAAAATAMAATAAAGCACAGTTACTTTGCAAAACCTTAACGAAATTCCACAAATTCAACATTTTTTTCACTTCACGCTTCTTCAATTCTTTTAGGCTCTTCCTGCAATCACCGGCTAATCCTGACCTGCTCTACATCATTTTCTTCTGTCACACACAATTGACGGTGACGCTTTTATTGTGTTTAATATTCGGCAGCAAGGTAAGTGTCGCAACGCTCCCACGCACCGCCCAACATTTTTAACATTTATAAACTTATTTTGACACGAAAATATGAAAAAAACAACCGAAAAAGAAATGTTATTGGGCGTATATAAATTCCATTTATGACAATATTGTTATTTAATCCTCGATTATATTCAAATTCCTCACTGACAATTCGTTTTCGCTTATTTTATTGTGGCATTATACGACTCTTCTGTCGTTGCCATTGTTGCTTTTGTTGCTATTGTTGCTTATATTGTATTTTTCTGACTCAACAGGTTTACATTGTGCTGCGCAGCGGCAAATCGCATCAGGAGACCATCGGCATGGGCGCCAAGTCCTCCGGCGCCAAATTCAATTTTCGTCCACAGGTGCGCACCTTTGCTAATCCCAGCTCGGTTACCACCTCCACCGTGCCCGTCGCGGGCACAACGTCAGGCGGTAAGTTGCAAATTCACACTCATCACAAACTTWTCCACTAAGGGCTTAGCTTTTCCCCGATTTAAAGAGGATTTCGCTTATCTAGTCAGCACGCACACTGGAAATTATTTACTCAAGCGGTTTGTATTTGTAGTTGGGCAATTTAACGTTTTGATTTGAACAAAAAAGAGTACGCATTTCATTCTAATTAGGTGATGTTGAGCGGAGTGGGGGCCTTCACACAAACTCTCATCACRTGATTACAAGCGACTGACAATTTTAAAGTGAGATCAGTGGCAAATAACGAACTTCATGATTCGGAAATATATAGCACATAATTTCTATAGACGCTCTTGACAACATAACATTTTAACTTCGCTATTCTCAAATGAATAAATTCCGAAGTCCTTCAATTGATTTATAGAAAGTATTAATCTAACTTTGTGGTGGAGAAAGACTAATGATACCAGGCAAAGAATGTCTCTACTAAACTGGATAAAAGAGAACGGGGCGAACACTGCTGTAAATATTAGTGCGTTTTAGAACCAGTCCTCTTAGGAGCGGAGAGATATTTTGCCAGCAAGTGAAATTACGCTTTGTGTGAATTCGAACGGATGGCTGATCATTTATATATAAGTATATATTTAATAGAGCCTCTGACGTTTCCTTCTGTGTGCTCCAAACCWCGTGGCAAACTTAATATACCCCGTTCTGGCTACACAGTTTTCATCATATCAAATCGATTAGCCACTTACGTCTCCTTAACTGTTTACCTGGAATCCTTCGTCATTACTCAAATAAGTCCGTAATGTCACCAGCTCCTATACCAACGCCGCTGACAGTTATCAATGCTTTGGCACTGTCATGTCGTGCCAATTGCATCATTTGTCAAAATGCTCAAGCACCAGCCACTCACTTTGTGACACTTGGGTCTTTGCCGCCGCTGTTCGAACTCCCACTTTACATTGGCAGAGAAATCTCGTTTCGTCATTATTGCTCACTAGTTTTTGCTTAAATATCCTGCATTTGCTCTTTAACTTGGACATTTCATGTCACTCACTTACTTGTGGCCGCTTCGGCATGAAGTCGCCACGTGAAACACTGAGTTTTCAGTGCAAAATTGTTGAATAAAATATTTCGATTTTATGTGAGAATATTTTCTTATACGTAAATTGTCAGCATATCTATCATAAAGTGCTCACTCGCTATGTCAACCAAAACAATTAGTTCATGGTTGTGTGAGTAGAAAATACATGTGTGTGTTTAGCTTGACCACAATTTGTTGTTTGCAGTCAAAACTCAAAAGTCAATTTATTCTATTGAACCCTCACGCTCACGGACGTTCATATGTATGATGTCCTGCAGGAAATGAAATTAATTCAAGCCCCAGTGTGGTTTCATTAAACAACACGCAAAYTTTCGGACGATTTTAATCTTACGAGGTAGTTTGGTAAAGTGGATATCCCGACCGAGTTTTTGCATCGAAAATATGGATCACTAGTTCATACGGCTGTCCCTAACCTAAGGACCTGAAAGTGGTCCAACTTTGTCGAGTTTCTATAACAGCTACTAACTCCTTTTCTTCAAAATCCTTAATAGAATTAATATTTTAGTTTTGTGTTATCTCCGTACCTTACTTTAGACCATGTAGTGATACACCATCAAATTCTGCTCTGTTCAGTTATGACTATAAAATTATCCGAACGGYTTTGATTTTCCTAAAGGGCAAGCGGATTTATTATTTTCGTGTTTTATTATAACAGCTACACTTTCGATTTTACAATCATTATTTCCATCCGGACAAGGGAACAAGGTTTTTGCAGTAAATTTAAACTTTTGTCACTGTTGTTCATTTATCATAATCAATATTGGCTGCGACAGTGAGCACACCAAACAGTCAGCTGCAGGTACAGGGTTCGTCCGGAAATTAATAGGATTGAGTCGATTTAAAAAACTTTATTGAATTATTTAAAAACTTACAAAATATCCAGTGCTGCGAGCGCGATTTCCAAGCATTGAAGGCGTCACGGAAGGCATTCTCCAGGAATAGCCTTGAGAGCCAAGCTGAATGCTGCTTGGGTCCCTTCTGTCGTCTCAATATCCTTGCCTTCCATCGGCCTTTTCAGGCAAGGAAACAAAAAAAAAGAATTCTCGGATGCCTTGTGTTTCCGGAGCTCACCTCTGCTCTAAGGAACGATGCATTTTCGACTTTCACCACTCACAGAAAGACGTTGTGTAAATTTCCTAATTCTCAAGGTACTCGGAGGATTGGTCGGCCGCTCGTTCGTTAGATAGGAACCCTTCTATCGAATCCAGTCGGTGCTCTYATGCTCCATAGTACAGTCGTGAAGGGAGAAAATCGGTCCTATTACTTTCCGGACAAACCCTTTATTTACTTTTCCGAGAAATTGTTCCCTTTTTTTTCTTATGCACAACATAATCTTGAGGTCAYTGACATTTAAGAAAGACACTTAATTGAGTTGATGAGCAATTATTTCCAGCTCTTATTAAGTTTGAGCAACAATAAAAAACAAAAAAAAAGCTTTTGCAGAAATTCCCTACCGAACGCATTCCTCAGTCGTAAACTTTCTTCTTTCTCCGCAGACACAAAACTTTCGGAYCAGGAAGCACTTGAAGAAATCCGACAACTGAGCGTGCAGCTACAGCGCATACAAGAGATGGCGCCGCCGAAAGGTGTTGCCGTTATGACAATCTCCAGTCTCTTAGACGGCCTTAAGACGCCAGGCGGTATGATTATGGTCGCTGCCGCCGCTTCGCAGGCGGCCACATCRAACAACCAACTAACCGTGCGCCCATATACGCCCGGCAGTAGTGGAGGAGGCGTAACTGCAAGCAGTGCCGGCGGTGGCGCTTTGCCATTGCTCTCACTCAATACTGAAATGGAGAAGTACAATCAACAGATGCACACAACGCACAACAACAATGTTACTGCAGCTTCACAACCGAAAGCACTAATGCTGGAGGTGGAGACCAGCACGACCACAATCGAGGAGTCCTTGTTGGCGCTGCGTGAAGACCGCGCCATCAATACAGACTTAACGCGGAGCGAGGACTTCCACCAGCAGGCGCTGGGCTGTGCGCAGGGGCACATCATTTGCACGCGTTGTTTGGTTATTTCCAAAGAACACTATTTCAGCTGCCGGCCATTCACCCCGCCACATGGCTCACTGGGTCGAGATGATGGTAGTGGGAAAAGACAACGGGGTGGCAAAAATGATGATTGTAAATATAGTGGTGCCACTTGCCAACAGCTCGGTTCACCACAGCCGGAAGGCAGCATCAGCTTTGCGAACATAAAACTGGAATGTATGTGCTCGCAGCCTGATTTGGACATCGATGTAGAATCGGATGTGCCACTGAGGCGGCGCATCAATGTACGCAGCGCGGCCACTAATACACCACCTTCYACGAGAGGCAGCAGCAAGCGGCGCAGTGGCCGCACGAAAACGAGCAGCCCCAGCTTGCAGGATATGGGCAGTGAGAGCCTGGCAGCGGACGTGCGCTATCGTATATGTGATAATTGTAAAAATAAGTATCGTAATAGCAATAAGTGTGGCGGTAGAAAGTTCCGTAAAAGTATCAAGAATGGACGAAACTCGTGCCAGCCGTCAKCCGCAGCAACCGCAGCAGCTACAATATTAAGAGCCGGCGATGAACGTCATTCACAAAAKCAAAGCTTAGCTGCACGAACTGGCGTCACTCAGACACGTAGTAATGACCTGCTTGACCGCCAACATGCGGCTGATCTTACCAGCACCGCAGCGCCCGCGAGTCAAAGACAAAAGATGCACTCCACGGACGACATTATCTTCTACACAACCACTGATGAGAGCAGTACCAACAGCGATGACACTTCAGATTGCGAAGGCGCGTGCATTCGGCTGCGAAATCGGCAGCGCGAACTAGCTGTTCAGTCGACATCTGTACTCAGCACTGTGGGTTGTGGGACGCTGCACAACGACGCAGTGGCAACTTCAGAAGACTCYATGGCCGCAGCGTGTATCGCGGCAGCGGCGAATATTAGCGCTATGAGTGGAGAAGTTACCAGCCATGCACACTCGAYGGTTGATGTGCCGCACGATTCAAATGGCTCTGTTACAAACGAAGAAGCCAAGCCAAGCTCTGCAGCTGTTGAAGACAACAGCGCTCCATCCAATGGTGCTGGTGCTGGCCGCGCAAAGCGGCCCGACAAACTGATACTCGATCTGAACGATCGCTCCAAGTACACAAAAGAGGTTTCCGTTTAGGTTATTTTGGTTAGAAATGTAGGTACTCTCATGTAAATCATGTTGAAGAGCGATTAGCTAGTCAGATTTTGTACATAGAAAATACTAAAAAGTAGAAAGTTAAAATATTCTTAAAGAACTCAGTAGAAATAAAAAAATTAGATGGAAAAGCATGGGCCTGCATAAATGCATATGCACTCTGACGATTTGAAAAGGTTTTACTACATCTATAATAACGGTGTGCTGCTAAAGTAAGGGTGAGAGCATGTTGAATACTCAGTAGGCTTACTAAGCATTAGTTAGGTTAAGAGACTATTTAAGAGTGTGTAGCTAGATTATCAGCCATTTAATGGCTTTATTTGTATTAAATTATAAAGTTTGGGAATTTCTAAAATACTATATTACATACTCATAAGTGATATTGTAGTGAGGGTATTTACCATAGATTTATTATTTAGGGACTACTTAAAGGTAAGTACGTTGCTTAAGCCTTGAGTTATTTTCAGCTGAGCTTCATCATTTATGCGCAACAAAGTGAGCTCTTATGGCAGTGTATCAGTTGATGATAAAATCGCGTTAATACGAGACTATATGCTATATTGGAGTATAGAATGAGCTTTTATGCCATTAATCTTTCTTGTTTGGCCATCTGATAGGCTTTGACACTTTTTCCATGTCATTTGTGTCTAGCGTGGTAGATTTTTCCTGACGCCTTTATCGACAGTACTACTATAGAACCACATGAAGTTTACAATTTCGCTAGTTGAGACCTAGTAAGTCCGATATGAAAGCATATACGTGAAACAATGTGAAAAAACTACCGTATATTGATATTAAATTCTGCGTAATCGTGATATTTGGAAAGAGGAACTATTTTAAGGCCAAATAAAATATACTGATTATTTTTCTCAGTTGTTAGGAGTTACACTAAAAGGTTTTGTGAAAGTTGAGTTTTGTGGATGCACAAACATTATAAGGAGGAAGCCTTAGGCTATAAAGAATTCCAGGAACACTCCGTCAAGGTTCCATATAAGATTGKTTGTCGAGTTCAAAATTCTACATTTTTTCTCGTGCCTTTGTCTACAGGTCAATAAATAAACGTTTTCTTCCACAAAGTATCATATTGGAGGATATCGCGTGAACATGGCACATGTTGCAATAAGAACATGCGCAAATTTTTCCATTAAGGTTAGTTGGCTGACGACGGTTCTCGAGAGATTGCTTATATGTGAAGTTTTCTTGCAAGAAGCTTCTTAGAATGTGAATGTAAGTCATTTGCAAACCTTCCTCATTTCCAAACCTTCCTCCTTTTGCTCTCCGTTAGTATAGTCCCCCTGAACACTAAACACTGGCTCCAASGATCCTCCAATCTGTTTATCCCATCCCTAAGGAGAAAATGCAAAGTAAGCTTCAAGTTATGATCMCTTCATTTGATGAACAACGCTTGCCACGCATAAATTTTTCTAGTTCTGGAAACAAATGGAATTCGCTGGGGTCCAAATCTGGTGAATACGGCGGATGCTCCAACAATTCGAACTTTAATTCATGGAGTTTAGCCATTAACAAAATGCTCTTGTGACACGGTGTATTGTCGTAATGAAAAAAGAATTTTTGCTTCTGCGAACCGGGTCTTTTTTCAGGAATATTTTCCTTTAACTCGTACAAAAGCTTTTAATCATATTCAGAATTAATTGTTTTACGAGTTTGCCAGTCCACAACCACGTTTAAATTTAGCAACCCATCTTTCTACAATTCTTATTATACGTGAACAGTTATTATACACTTTTAACGCATATTCGTAAATTTATTGATGCCAGCTTGCAGGAAGTTTCTTAAAATATAAATATAAGCAATTTGAACCCTTCCTCATTCTTTTCACTCGCCGTTAACTGCAGCATAATTAACCAGCATATAAGATATATAACATATTTTAAGTTCATTGTCCGTTGTATCTAACCTATCTATCTTCAGCCGTTGTACGCGTTTGTGAAGAAGCTCTTCGGTAAACTCAAGGATTTTAGAGCACTGTGATTTGTGTATAAAACTAGTGAATTTAGGATAGCTAACAAGTATAGGTAGTTTTAAAGTCGTTATAAAACATATGCATGTCGATATTTTTTGCTTTCTCTTTTTCTCCTTCAACACTTCATATAATAAGCCTTTTGTCACTTTCAAGAAACCATATAAACATTTCTAATTGACATTTTTTCTCTTGCTTTAATCGTAAGTGTATGTTAACGTCCGGCTTGAAACACTCGCTTCCAATGAGATTCTTTGAGATTCCTTCGTCTACTGGTCCCAAACTATGGCAACTGATTCTGCAACGGAAATGAGCCCTGAGTTGCAAAATCATATTTGCCCTGCATTGGCGCCAAGCGCACAGCTGTGGAATTCATTGGAACTGCAGCGTTTCTAGTAACTTAATTAGCATCATTCACAGTTGGGATACTAACGAAATTTAGTAACCGAAAGGAAGRTTTAGTAGCTGWGTGTAAATAATTTATGATCCAACTTCTTTCTTAGGAACGCACTCATGTTCAAATAAAGTGTGTTTACGCTTAGTGAAAAAGTGGGGAAATATTTTTTACTCTTAAGTATTAAAAATTCACATATCTCTGCCAAAGAAATTACGTTAAAGTACCAAAAGTAAACAAAAGTATTATTAAAATTTGTAATTACCGTATATAATTCATAAAGCTAGACCTTAAGTATTTATCATGTAAAGCAAGTTTGTTGGTCATTAAAACTAACTGTGTATATAGGTAAATAAATACATATGCAAAGCGTATACGCACAAATGTTTACTTTGTAGCACTGGACTTGGTGAAACGTAGTAATTAGGTAAGTATTTGTACTGCTGTACTACAACAACATTCAAAGCAAACATTTTCYTTTTGCCGCTACTCTTGCTCTTGTACGCCTTTGACGTTGGCAATTTTAATAACTTATTCGTAGTAAAATAAGCCCACTCGTCGCTTTCTCTACGGCAAGCCAAGGTACTTTAGCAAGAAATTTAATAAATCAGAAACACACAATTTTATGCACACACGGCTAACGGCATGCACAGCGGTTGGCCAATTAAGCTGCTTTGCACGGTAAGCCAGAATTGAGCATTTACACTTTTTTAATGAAAATTGCCAAGAATTCTAAAAGTGTTTAATTTATAGCAAATAATGTGAGCTGTGCAAAATGTGAAATTTGATTTGTGCAAAAATGTTATTTAAATCTTTTTGTAAAATGTAAAGTTTTTAAAACGTAAGGAGGAGCTAAGTTTGGGTGTAACCGAACATATTGGTTAGTCGAAAAAGTCTTTTCGTATTTTGTCAATAGATATAGTCATGTATTTTGCGTGCTACCAATCACATTGTGTCGTACCATATAGTGTTGGAAAGGTGATATAAGTTTCATTAAATTCAATTCGGGGGAGTTGAGAAAAAGTTACAGCTGTTCAAAATAAATGAAATAGTGAAGAAATTCGCTATATTTTGAACTTAGTCTTTCCTTACAAACTTCTTTCCCTACCCACATAATTGTGATCAGTTTTAGCTATGCAGATATTAGCCATGAATGTAAATAATATTCAGCATACCGCCAGCTGTGTTGCCCATCGGCTTATGGAATGTCAAATATGCATGAGTAATTATGCATATTAGACTAACATTCAATTAAGCATTGTATGTAAATAAATCATTCGGCCATAATTCATATTGCATCCGCTCATTGGTAAGGTACTAACTACATATTTAGCACTTACACCCATGTGCAATAAAAGGTTACGCATACGCACTGTACTACAAGCGCAACGAAAGCTCAAGCGCCTACCGTGCTTGCAAGGCGGTGGAACTGGATGAATTGGAGAAATTAAWGAAACATGTGTACCCATTGAATTTCTCTACACACACATGCATGCATTCATATATTTGTTACGCACGTTTCGGTACAAATATGCGTGGGTAATCACGAAGTTTTATCCAGTGCATAGTAGAGGAGTTTTGAGAATTTCRACAAATTGAGGTATGTAGGTCTGGATTTYGAAAAGAGTTCCATTTTACCCGTGTCGTTTTTGGGTCTATTCCTTCGAAACTGCTGACCGGGCAAGCAAAAGTGAAGAGAAATCACTAAATAATGAATCGTCCAACTACTTTAAAAAGCTGGGTTGCAAAATAAAAGAGATGGAAAATATGATGGCTGACCAAAGGCACGTAAAC